ACTCCCGAAACCCAGTCCGACAACGACATCAGCAAGGAGAGATGGAAACAGAAGGGCAAGAAAAAAGGGATGGGAATGGAAAGTAGGACAAAAAGGAGGAGAGAGGGCCAAAAAAAGTAGAGAGTGAAGAAAAGAGGAAAGAGAGAGAAATTAAATACGGGTCAGTGCCAAAGAGACAGGATGGGAGAGTGAGTAGAGAACCAGCCAGAGAGTCAAGAAAACCTGGGTTTGAATTTTGCTTCTGGAACTTACTAGGTGGGACACGTAGCCATTTACTGAACAAGCATTCTTTAAGTGTCTACAACGTGTCAAGCACTGTGTGAAGAAGCCTCAAGTATCTTCAGTGGAAAGAGCGAGGGATTTGGAGTCTAAGGCCCTTGGTTCAAATCCAACTTAATTACATACTAACTATATGCCCTAAGGCAAACCACTTTCCCCCTCCAGACCTGTAACATGAAGAGGTGTACTGGCTGAACTTTGTGGGCTTAGCCCTCATCATCCAGCCCAACTCCCAGTGAGGTTAAAATATCAAAATCTATTAAATTCCAGCCCTGGGGTTACACCGTGACTCTGGACACATGACTTAAGCAATCTGGGTCTCAGTTTCCCCGTCTGTAAGATGTAGACAATGGCCAAATGACCTTTACACTAACATTAACACAGCATTTTAAGGTTTAAAATGTATATATGTATATGTGTGTGTAGATATGTATGTATGCACACACACACACAAACAAACTATATCCTTATTTTTTCTCACAAAAACCCTGTGACCCAGGTCCTATCAGAATCTCAATTTACAGATGAAATTCAGGCTACCAAAGGTGAAGTGACTGGCTCAGAGCCACAACCTGGGTCTTCCTGAATAATTCTCTATTCCCTAAACCAGCTGATTGTCTCTTTCAGATTCCTTCAAACTCAAAATCTACGATGCTCTGATTTGCAAAGGGTGGATCTCAACACCTGGAATATTGTCCTCCCGGAAATACTGTGAGGATCCAATGAAATGATACCCTTTAGGGGGTTGGGGGACCCTCGACAAATCATCTAACCTCTCAGTGTCCCAGGCACCTCTCCGAGACTGTGCAGTAGAGCTAAGGCGCTATTCCTCCTCATCAGGAGGGAATTTATCGAGTGACTATATGTCCGACGCATTGGGTATGCAAAGACAAAAAAAAAATCCTTGTTTTCTTGGGGGGGGGGAAAGAAAGAGGATAGCATGGCACAGTGGAGAGATTGCTGGGTCGGTGCACTATAATTCAAATCCTGCCCCTCATATTTATTATCTGTGTGACTTTGGGCAAATCACATAACCTCTATGGGCCTCAACTTCCTCATCTGTAAAAGTTGTTGTCCAGTTATATCCAACATTTTGTGACCCCATTTGAGGTTTTCTCTGCAAAGATACTGGAGTGCTTTACCATTTCCTTCTCCAGTTCATTTTGCAGATGAGGAAAATGAGGCAAATAGAGCTAAGTGACTTGTCCAGGGTGACACAGCTAGTGTCCGAGGCTGGATTTGAACTGAGGTCTTCCTGACTCCAGGCCAGGCATTCTATCCACTACATCACCTAGCTTCCCTGTAAAAGAATGTGGTGCCACTAATTCAATGGCCTCTGAGTTTCTTTCCAGCTTCAATTCTCTGATTTTATGATCCCTGCCTTCAAAGAACTCACAGGAAGTCACAGATCCAGACCTCCTCCTGTACCCCAAGAAGAGGTGCTGAGCAGCTCTTAACCAAGACACCCTCCGGTGAGCCCAGTTGTGATGCCAAACACATCTCTCCTCCTTGTCACCCTTGACACCTCTGTCAACGTGTCAGAAAGGGTATCGTTTCTGCACTTCTTGTCGATCTGTCTGGCCAGGACAGCATCCCTATAGAAACCTGGCATGTGGAAAACAGAAGGTGTGCCTAATAGGCAGTAAGCTCCCTAGCTCCCTGAACTGTAGCATGGAAAAAGATCCATCTATAAAGAACACAGCAGTGGACATACCAGGGGTGGTTATAAACATGAAATAATAATTATTCCAAGGCACTATTGCCTTCCATTTCAGCACAGTGGCAGCCCGAAGAGGGTTAAAAAACAAAGTCTCTACTGTCCAGTACAAAATCAGCCTATTTCAATCAACTGATATTTTACAAGCACTCCCACGGTGTCAAGCATTGTGCTAATAGGTGTCGTCTTATTTATAATGCTTTACTTTTCAATACCTCCAGGATGGAAAATGATGACGGAGATCTCGTGGAAGATTTATTAATACCTATAGGCCTACTGGTAGGGAGGAGCATTCTGCATTGTTCAGCTGAGAAGGGAACAAGAAATCCAAGTCCCAAAATGTGGATCAGATTTCGGTGACCAAGTTGGGCAATCCCTGAGTCAGTGACAGCGTTCCGGATTTGCCTAGTCATCCTGGGAAAGCTATATTTAACAGCTTAACTTAAAGATGACCAGTTGCCACGCTCACCCCCCTTCTACCTCTCACTGCTTCTTTTAGTCTCTCTTTCATGCCTCTCTAATGATAACAGGACTCAGAAAAGATGTTCTGAACGGCCTCTCCAATCCAGCCCCCAAAGTGTTTGCTGCTGTCAGACCCAAACACATGAATAAGTCATTCAATACATCTCTAGACCACCACATCAATCATTCATCGGTCTTGGCACCCAAGTGCATCCCCCAGGAACCTTCCCTGAATAACACACAGAATGTGGTTTTTCTTCTTCCTCTCCCAAATGAGCTCAGCAACAGATGCTATAGGTAACTCCCTTTTCTACCTGTCTGACCCTCTTTTCTCTGACTTTGAAGTCCACCAGGATAAGGCACCAGGCTTCTAAGACTCTCCTATTCTCCTATTTAACTCCCTGTTCTAGAGCTAAAGTCTGATAGACAGGATGGGTTAAAGTCTGACGGTGGTGGTGGCTTGGAGGGGAAGTTTGGGCTTTTAAAGAGGGGGCTTCTCTAGACACTCTGGGGATACCTCCTGAGACGTTAGCATAGAGAAAGTAAGGGAAGAGTGCATTCCTCATTTCTCCCTGCTCCTTAAGAGCACCTGCCATTCATTAGCTGACAGGACAACAGTTACACATATGCACATATTACCTATGTCTTCAACTCAAATTTATAGCGTTAAAGCTGCCAGAAGGCCAAAACAGCAGAAGGAATGGGTTTCTCCTGGCTGTAAAAAGATGGGGACGGTTGGGAAGGAGGGCTAGGCGACCCGGAATCCTGTATTTCTCAGCCCACTTAAGACCCGGTAAGTGGGGGCATAGGTGTGGTCCTTGGCATGACAGAGAAAAGAAGCGAGAGACCGGGGGGGGGGGGGCAGGAGTGAGAGGAAAGAGGTGAGCTCCCCACCAGGAAAAGAGCCAGAGGGGACTTAGTTAGGGGTCAGCTATGACCAAGTGCAGGGGACCTCCCTCAGCTTCCCTCCCCACTCCTATCTTTAAACCCAATCAAGGATCACAGCATTAAAGACACAAATAATTATCGACATAAAACAACTGGCCCCCAGTGCCTGCCAAGAGCTTCTGAATAGAAATAAACAGGTTATCCCTTAGAGGGGAAAGCAGGGAGGAGGGGTGGGGCTGGGGAGGGTCGAGGGGGGGCGTCTCTGGTTTCCCTCGCGTTTCTTTCCAAGCGCCCCCTCATCCCCCAAGAGAAGCTGCGTGGCAGGTCCCGGGCTGAAGATGTCAGGCTGGCCCTCCCCCTCCTCTTCCTCCCCTCCCCCGCCCCCATTCTCCCTCCTTCCTACCCGGGGGCCCAGCCCTGTCCGCTCCGCTCCGTCCGTGCGTCCGTCCGTCCGTCCGTGCGGGGCGAGATCCCGTCTCGTCTGCCTGGCGCCGAGCCCAGGTACGCGGTGGCGACGGCAGCGGTGGCCGTGCTGGTGGCCGCGGGGACTCACTCCTGCCTTCCTTCTCCTTGCCCCCCCCCCCCCGCTCCTCCTCCTCCTCCTCCTCCTCGGCCCCTCCTCGAAGACTCCTCCCGCCGGATCCTTCATGTAAACAACATGCAGGCAGGCTCTATTTACAGTCGCTGCCGCCGGCGGACAGCGAGGAAGCCCAGGCAGCACCCCGGGGAGGCGGGGGAGGGGGCGGGGGGCAGGAAGGCGAGTGCGCAACGATGAGCCCCCCGCGGGGGGCCCCCCGGGGGCACGAGCCGGGGCCGGATCCCCGGCAGGGAGCGGTGCTGCCCCCGCCCGCCCCTCGCGCCCCTGTTTGCCCACTAGCCGCCGCGCCCTGCCCGCTGGAGCCCCGGGGGGGGCGCTCCTAGGCACCGGGGGCAGTGCCAGCGGGCCAGGCAGCCTGGTCCGGAGCTGGGGGGTCTAGGGGAGCCGCTGGCTCAGCACCCTTGGACTGCCCCGCCCGCCTCGGCCTCGGCGGGGGGGGGCAGAGTGCGGGGGGGGCCCCTGCGCGGGGGCCGGCGGCCGGGTGTTTTTGGGGGGGGGGGGGGGGGGGGTCGGCGTGCGGGGCCTGATGAAGCGCACCCTGGCGGGGCGCGCAGCCCGGGTAGCGGCCAGCACACCGCACCGCAACGCAACACAACACTGCACAACACACACGTCCCCGCCCCCAGCGCAGCCGCCCCGGGGGTGTGTGTATGTGTCTGTGTGCGTGAGCGCGCGCACGGAGAGCCCCAGCGACGGGCGCGGGGCGAGCCGCGATGCCCAGGGTGGCCAGGGCGCGGGCTGGCGGGCGGGCGGCACCCGGGCCCCAGACCCGGACCCCGCTGGAGCGCAGCGCCTGGCGAGCCACACGCGCGCGCGTGCGTACACACACACACACACACACACACACACACACACACACAAAGTAGGCGCGCGCGGGCACTCGCTGAGCCCCGCACACAGCGCCCCAGGCCAGCTCCCCGACCGACTCCCCCTAACCCACCTGCGCCCCCCGAGGGCTCCGGGCCCCCCTCTCCCTTTGTTCTTCCCGATATTTGCACGAAGATTATCTAATGACGCAGCAAGGCTCGCCACAACGTGACCGTCGCCATTTTTCTGTTTTTATTATATCTCGGCCATGTGATAGATTTAGGGGGAGGAAAAAAGAGAGAAGAGGGGAGGAGGAGAAGAAGAAGAAGGGAAAAAAAACCCCTAAACTTCCGGGTCTCATGACCAGGAACAGAGAAAAACAAAAGAGGATGAGACCCAACTCCAAGGGAAGGATGTGCGTGTGTGTGTGCGTGTGCGTGCGTGTGTGTGTGTGCGTGCGCACCGCTCCAGGTGCCCCCCGCAATGAACTAGGTCCGTGGAGGCGTTTTTCGGCCCTGCTGCCCCGTAACTCCTGGCAGAGATGCCACGGTCTCCCCGTTGTGCCAGCCGCCGGTCACTAAGGGCCACTGAGCCCTGAGCTGGCGTCCTCTTCTCTTCCCTCCTGTCGCCCCTGCCCAGGGCTCGGTCTGGAGTGCCCCAATTCCCGCTGAGCTGAGCCCAGCTGAGCCGAGCTGCTCAGCGGTCTTGATTTCTGGGTCAAGTTCAGAGAAGTTTATTGCCCAGAGAGGAAAAATAACCCCCGGCATCGAAGGGGCCCCGTGCTCCAAAAGTCACTATTATTATTACTATTACTACTATCACTACGATGACTTTTCCAACACGATTTTTTATGACAACTTCCTAGAAACAGCAAACGGAGTGCACTATCTTATTGGCTCCGCTCCTTTTCGGGAGCTCCACCTCTTCACCCCACCCCAGCCCCCTCCAGCGCGCGGGCACACCCTGGTGCGGAGCGAGGTGCGGAGCCGTGGGCTTTGGCATCGTTGTCGGCTCTGCGGCCAGCTGTCGGGGAATGGTTGATTGACGGACTGAGTCGGGCGCAGTTGTCAATATCCTTGGGAAAGGATGCTTGAGAGGCTCCGCGAGCTGCTAGATACGGGAGAGTGGACTACTGTGCGGTGGGGCCTATTCACAAAGAGAGGCGTCCGAGGCAGGGGAGAGGAACGCCTGAACTTTTCTCCGCTGAGTGTCTGGTCTACAGGTCTGCTGCTCTAGGGGGTGGCGTAGGGGCGGAGGAGGCCTCCAGCGCTCGCTCACGGATTCTTTTCCCTAATGCTTTCGCTTTTGAGTTTTCTAAGTTTCACTTTCCGGAGAAGGCAGTGTGGTCACAGTGGAAAGGCCATTCGTCCCCACAGGCATCAGAAGCTTTGGCTCTTGGTGTCCTCCCCGCCTCTCCTACTTACGAGACTTCGGACAAGTGGCTGCAGGCCTCCAGGCCTCAGTTTCCTCACTTGTAAAATGAGGGGGTTGCGTGAGATGCTCAGAGATGCAGAAGGGACCTGAGAGGCCAGCTAGTCCGGAGCCCTCATTTTACAGATGCGAAAAAAGGTCAGACAGTGAGAATGGTCCAGACAGAATCTGAACTCAGAACTTCTGCTTCTCCCAGTGTCCCAGGGTGCGCCTCCTTTAGACCCTTCCAGTTCTAACAATCAGCGATTCGATGCCATCCTGCCGTCATTGCACATTCTTTTTAACAACAGTACTCAATTTCTTTTTAAATCATAGAAATGAAAAGAATTTATATTTATCTGGTTATATTCTTTATATATAACTTATATTTATAATGGTTGTATATGCTTATGTGGTTATATATATATTTGTATATAAATTATATTTACCTGGTCACTCTGTCCCTCCTGGGATTGGTGCGATTTTCCTCCATTCAGTTCGATTCCACGAATTTCTTTCGAATAACTGCTACACTCTTAGGCGCTGTGCGGAGGGCTTGGGCGGGGGAAAGGGGAGGAGGACTTACAAGTCCTGCCCTCAAGGAGAGTATACTCGGTGGAGGGGTTTCAGATGAGTAAATGCGCCCAAAACAATCTCAGTCAAATTTTCTGATGTGTTAAGAATGGATCTAGGGATTTTGCTTCCCCTGTTTCCCTAGAAGGAAAATTGCACATTCTTCCCAGGAAGATGGATACAGAGAAAACATTCTCAATACCACTTTTTCTCATTTTTCTAGGTTCAGATTAACGAAGGAGAAGGAGCCAGCAGTTAAAAATGATTTTGCCTATCCTGGTTCTCTCCTCCTTGTCAAGCTGAGTTCTGTTTCTAGAATCACAACGTTTTGGAGGTGAAAAGACCCTATTTGCTAATTTTATTGTATACTCCTCTTCGGGGCCTGGTGGTTTCTGGGCAGGACACACACACTTGCAGACAAAATACAGTGGGTTTGCTTTTTGATACCTGTTTCTGTGGGGCAGCTAGATGGCACAGTGGATTGAGCAGTGGGCTTCGAGTCAAGAAGACTTGTCTTCATGAGGTCACATCCAGCCTCAGGCACTTACTAGCTGTGTGACCCTGGGCAAGTCACTGAACCCTGTTTGCCTCAGTTTCCTCATCTGTAAAATGAGCTGGAGAAGGAAATGGCAAACCACTCCAGTATCTTTGCCAAGAAAACCCCAAATGGGCTCATGAAGAGTCAAACGGGACAGAACAACAACATATGTTTAGCTCTGATGAATTCCCTAAAAATCGGTCCCCTCTTTCCCTTTATCTTGTTTTGTGGCCTTTCTCCAAACTTTTTTCAATTCATCCAAATCAAATATTTAAATAAACAGGACCCTTTGGGGTTTTGATTTCGCTTAGTGTAAACGTTTGGGGGAAAGCTATCATCCTTTCCAGGCACTTGGACTTTAACCAGCGACATGCACGGAAACTCTGAATTTGGAAGTAGAGAACCTGGGTTCAAATCCTGCCTCTGCAACCTTGGGCAATTCATTTAAACTCTCTGGGCCTCACTTTTCTTATCTGTAAAATGAGGGTTCTCTAAGGTTCCTCTCAGTTCCAAAATTTGTGATTTCTGTTCAATTCAACAAAGTATTTATTATGTGCCTACTGTGTGCTAAGCACAGGCAGTACTGTGTGCTCCTTATTCAGGAAAACAAATTTGACTCTTCCCCAAGTACATTTTTTTTGTCATATGATTTTTATGAAAAAGTTATACAATAAAAAAATGAAAATTTAATTCCATCACCCTGTTTCTTTTAGTCTTTTACAATCTGCATTCTAGTTTACCTTGTTTGGCTTTGTGCAGCCAGTGCCTAAAACAGATCCTGACCTACGACAGCCCTTCGAGAAATGCTCGTTGGATTGGATTGAATCCTAATCCATTTGTCCATACTATTCTATGTTTTTCTACGTTTTGTTCTAAATATCATACAACTGACTACAAGTCAACAAACAGTAAGCATCTACTATATGGGTGATGCCATTCTCAGAGCTAGGGCTACAAATGTGAAAAATCCCGTCATCTTCCCCCCCAGAGAGTTTATCATCCTTCATGTATGTCATACTTGGTGACATGACATGACATGACATGATAGGATATGACATAATATAACAAAACAACATGATATAATATAACTAATAAAATATGATGTAAGATGACGTAACATAACATGACATCACATAACATAACATAATATACTTGATTCCTATTATCCCTAATTCAGTTCAACAAGTGTTTATTAAGTAGGAGCTGTGTACCAGGCAATAAGCATGTGGCATACGAACCCCAAAAGTAAACATTCCCTGCCTCCAATGAACCTAGATGCTAATGCTACTTTTTTTCCCCTATTATTCCTAGGTTCAAATGAATTAGTGGCCTACAATCACGAAATCATAGGACCCTAGAATTGGCAGTGACCTTGAACAGTAACATAATCACACGTCCCGATGAACACAGAATACAGTGTCCTCTTCCGCATCTCCTGCAAGGCACCATCAACATCTACTTTCACTCCTTCTGTCTGGAAATGTAAGCACCCACCAAGACAGTCTGGTCAACTTCTAGCAAGTTCTGCTTTATACTGAGTTGAAATTCCTGTAATTCCTTGTAATTTCTGCCTGTCCTTCCTAATTGCACTCTCTCAGGTTGAGCTGAAGAAGACTCATTCCTGTTCCAGTTAGATAAAACCAACTGCTTGAAGATAACACTATGTTCTCCTCAACCAAGTTCCTTCTTCAGCCTAAATATCCCAGAGTCCTTCAGGCATTCCTCAAAGGATGTGATTTTAAGTCCCCTCACCAATTAGTCTGTATGTGAGCCAATAGAATCTAAATTCCTTCAAGGTAGGGACTATTTTCTGGCTTCTGTGTAGACTTTCATCAAGTGCTACCTCCTGGAGATCTATCCTGGCTCCCTACTTTGTGCTGTACCCCCCTTCTCAGGCTCTAGTGCCTTTGTGTACCTTCTATTGCAGAACTATGTAGATGGTGTCTCCTCCTTTAGAATGTAAGCTCCTTGAGAGCAAGGCCTGTGTTTGCCTTTTCTCCACATTTAACTCCAACAGTCAGCACAGTGCTTGATATATAGTAAGCACTTAATACATGTTTGCTTATTGATCGATTTTTTTTTTGTAAACCTAGATCTGAGCTCCGTAAGTAGAACATGGTAGGTTCGTGACAAAAGCTGGTTGAATTTTATTGATCAAAACTCTTCTTAAAATGGAGCACCAGAAATACAGGGAAGGACGGATGTTAATTAAGGATCAAGATGGGGCTCCTGGAAAAATAAAGTAGTGGCTTTGAAGGACTGATTAGGGAGCAGACAGCATAAGGATAAAGGCCAAAAAAAGTGAGTATTTAGGAATAGGTTAATAAAGAGGCGGGGGTTACTTTAAATTCTCGACTGAGAGGCCCCTTCTAGAGTGGAAAAGAGGTGGAAAGGCTGAGAAAAGAATAGATTAAAAAAAATGTCAAGCCTTGCACATAGTGGGTGTTTTAAAATGTGGATCTGATATCCAGCTTAGATACTGAAGGTTCTCCAGATGTCAGTGGGCCTTTCCTGCTGTGAAAATATAGAGTATACCATATTTATACTATTTCAGAATCTAAGGGTTAAAAGGGATCTCAGAAATCATAAAAAAGGAAAAAAGGACACACATCTACAAAAATATTGATAACAGCTCTTTTTGTGGTGGCAAAGAATTGGAAATTGAGGAGATGCCCCTCAATTGGGGAATGGCTGAACAAGTTGTGGTATATGAATGTAATGGAATACTGTTGTGCTATAAGAAATGATGATCAGCGTGATTTTTTTCTTTTGTTCTTGTTTTCTTTCACAACATGACTAATGTGGAAATATGTTTCCTATGATTGTACATGTATAACCTATATCAGATTGCATGCTGTCTTGTGGAGTGTGGATGGGAGGGGAAAAATTTAGAGCTCAAAGTCTTATAAAAGTGAATGTTGAAAAGGAAAAATAAATAAATAAAAAGAAATGATGAACAGGCAGATTTCAGAAAAACCTGAAAAGACTCATATGAATTGATGCAAAATAAAGTGAGCAGAATCAGGAGATCATTGTTCACATTAACAGCAACATCGTGCAATGATCAACTATGATTGACTTAGCCCTTCTCAGCAATACGATGATCCAAGATAATTCCAAAGGACTCATGATGAAATATGCTGTCCATATCCAGAGAAAGAACTGATGGAGTCTGAATGTGGATTGAAACATACTATTTTCACTTTCTTTATTTTTTCATAGTTTTTTTTCCTTTTTATTCTGTTTCATCTTATATAAGAAGGCCAATATGGAAATATGTTTTACATGACTGCACATATATAACCTATATCAGATTGATTCTCATCTCAGGGAGGAGGGAGGGGAGGGAAGGAGAGAGAAAATTTGTAACACAAATTTTTATTAAAAATTTAATGTTATGCAACTGGAAAATAAGATATACAGGCAATGGGGTATAGAAATCTATTGTGCCCTACAGGAAAGGAGAAGGGGAAGGGGATAAGAGAAAGGCGGGTGAGGAGGCAAGTAAATAGAAGAGAGGGCAGATTAGGGGAAGGGGTATTCAGAATGCAAGCCGTCTTGGGGTGGAGGAGGGGCGAGATGGGGAGAAAATTTGGAACTCAAAATCTTGTGGAAGTGAATGTTGAAAACTAAAAATAAATAAATTTAAAATAAAAATTAATGTTAAAATTGTCTTTACATGTAACTGGAAAAAAATAAAATACTATTTAAAAGAAAAAAAGGACCTCAGAGATCATCTTGTATGGCTCATTCCTGAATAAGATCTCCCTTGATAATATCTGAGGAAATGGTTGTTCAGATTCACTCAGGAAATGGACTGGAGACTTCTTGACTTGTACATCCCATCCTGGGAGAAGGCTGTAGGTTTTCATAATAATAATGATAGGATTTAGAGTTGTAAGGTGCCGTGGAGACATTGAATTCACCTCCTTCATTTTACAAGTAGTGCATTCTCTGGAGCTACTCTCCCAATCGTAATTCAGTCAGGCAGAATGGGTCCTTAAAGGGGGCTACTTCTCCCCACAGTGGGTATTCCTTAAGGATTATTTGATTTTTTTTCTCTCTCTCCAAGTGCCATATCTATCTATCCATACATATATATGTGTTCATATATATTTTATATATGCATATATATAACATATTTTCTCATATCTAGTACTCTCCCATTACTATATATTTAATATGTGTGTATGTATGTATGTATGTGTATATATATATATATATATACACATATATATGTCGTTAATGTTAATTTTCAAAAAAGACCAATGACATCATGATGTTGGAGTAAAATAGTGAATGATGAGTGATGTCTTCACTCATGTGTGAGTTTAAATGAAGCAGATTTAAATGAAGCAGAGTTGCACCAAGTCACCAGCCTCACTCTCTCTTTCAGAGTTAATAAAGTCCAGTGGCAGGACAAAAGGCAAGATGGCTGGGGATGGCCCAGGGTGCAGTGGATAACTTTGGTGTCTTTGATCTCTGACCAAGCTGTAAGCACTCCACAGCTCCTACTTCAGCTGCCTTCATAACCATTGGAACAAATTGTTCTCATCCGGTCTGTTCTACCAGGGGAAGTCTTCACTTGCTTAATAAATATTTGTTTCTAAAAATTAAATAAGTCTGGCAGGCTAATTGGTGCCAGCTGATAATCAATACAGAAAAGCATACAGGGTGGGGGAACTTGTGATGTGTGTGTGTGTGTGCACATACACATATAGGTATGTATGTCTGTGTATGTGTGGTACGGTATGTGTAAAGAGTCCAGGGGAAAGTGAGCTCAAGCTTAGAGAACACATGTAGCAAAGGGGTAACCCCGAGCTCTTGGAAGACCTTTCCCTGGCATCCTCGAGATACCAGTTTGCCTTCGGTTTGATTTAGCTTTCTGCTGGCTCCTTCTAGAGCCCTGAATCTATCTTTCCCGAGTGCGCCTGGTGTGTCCTTGGCTGTCACTGAAGACATAACGACCATTCTGATCAATGATCAGCGGCTGTGATACTCAAGAGAAACCCAGATCTTCTGAGCCTCCCAAGTTTACAAGGCTGTTTTCTGTTAGGGGAAAGGAGGTTGGAGTGGAAGGAGCCAGAGGCTCTGCCCCTCCATCCTCTGCCCCTTCTAAATGATGCCCTCTCACTTGCTTGCCTGGCACGGCTCTCTCCTCTTCTGCCTGATTCTGAAATGGCCAGGTTCTGAGCTAACTTGCTGCTTTATACAAAACCCCCAGAGTGTGAATGAGTGTGCATTGATTTAATGCCTTTAATTGACAGATTCAAAAGGGCAGTCTAATCCAATAAAGGTATCAGGGCTTAGTTCTTTTAGGTGGGAGTGGGGGAGGTGATTGACGGACTCAATTGCTCCTGCCTCCAATTTATAGTCTCCTCCCAGTATGAGGAATTGGAGATCTAAAAAGGTACCTGAGGCCACACAGATAATTGGTCCTATAGCTAAGGCTCAAGCCAGGTCATCTGATTCTAAAACTATTGGCATTTTTACCTCCACCTTGCCAACTCGTCTCTAGTACTTCAGGGTTTGGGATAATCCTGATTGGTAAGAAATGCACGAGTAATTTTTCCCATTTCACTTTATTTGTTAAATGTCGTATTGATGCTTCTTTAAAAAACAACAACATTGTTCTCATTTCTCAAAACCTCTCCTCAATAGAACTTCCTCTTTGTAACAACAAAAAAATACAGTTAAATGAAACAAACAGAAACATTGCCCATTTTACAGGAAGAGAAACTGAGGCTCAGAAAAGTATGGTGATTTACCCAGGCTCACACAGCTAGCAAATGCGAGCCCAGAATCAAACCAAGGTCTCTTGGACTGAAGACCAGGGCCCTCCCCACAACACATTGCTACATTCCAAAGATACCCTAACCAATCCATCAAAAAAAACCATTTACCAAGTATGTGTGCCATACTCTGTGCTGGTTAATGAGGATAGAGATGGGGACAACTCAACCTGAAACTCACTGATCTAGGGTATTCTCAGAAGACAAAACTCCTTCTACCAAAGCAGGTTAGAACCTTCTCTGCAACATGAAGTCTTAGAGCAGACATTCCCAAATTTTCTCAGTTCACAACAACATTAGTGTCTCAGACATTTTTTCAAAGAACTGCTAGGCCAAAAGAAATACCTACAGTTCCGTTTATTAAGTAGTTAAGTTCAAACAAGTTAATATGTATTTATGTCCTAACAACTTAGTAGAAGTTTGAAAAAACAATATAGGTGAATTGAAAGAAAAATATGATTTCATTCCTAAGTAACCATAATTACTTCCTAATGGGATGAGTGTTCCTATAAGGCACTGCTCAAAAACTGGAATCAGATTGGACACCAACCTCAGACACTTGTTAGTACATGACCTTGGACAAGTCCCTTAACCTTTGTCTGCCTCAATTTCCTTATCTGTAAAATGGGGATAATCATAGCACCTACCTCCCAGGGTTTTTGGGAGGATCCAATGGGATGATATTTGTAAAGTGTTTTGCAAACCTTATAGTGCTACATAAATGCTAACCATTAATATTAGGCACATGTCCCGTTTCATTTTGATTTTTCGGGTGTCTTGCCTCTTGTTACCTCCAACTCTGAAAACGCAGCTTTGCAAAGATATGACATTGCAAATGAATTAGGGCTTGCTGAACTTTAGCTAAATAGTCATCTTCTGTATTTCCCTTAAAAACTTAAAATATCCCCTGGTGCCCCTGTGAGCGCTCTGTGGAGCAGCAAGGGATTAAGGGATTTGCCCAGGAAGGAAAATGAAACAATATCTGCAACTGGGCATTTACATTCGACCTGAAAAGTAAATGTAAAAATTGTAAATTTGTACCAATTTGCTAAAGAAAAAAATGTGCAAAGTAAATAGGAAGTGATTTCACAGCGTGAGAGGCACCTGCAATTGGTGGGAGGGAGAGGGTTAGGAAAGGCCTCCTGCATGAGGTGGTGCTTAATTTAAGGTTTGAAGGAAGCTTGCAATTCATTTACAAGTCATGACATAAGGAGGTCATGGTCCTCCTCGAGAATCCAGGACGTCCAAGGAAGCGCGAACAGTGAAGGAAGCTGGAATTTGTAAAAGGCAGAGGAGTAAAAGAGGAAATCATTTCAGGAACGAGACCCAGTCTGGGCAAAGGGAGGTGGTAGAGGAATCGGTCCCGTCAAGTGCGAAAACGTGAATCTCAGAGTCCCTTTGTATATGTTCTGTGTGCCACGGGATCCCTGTGATAAGCACTCATTGGGAACAGTGACCAGCACAGTAGCAACAGCTGTAATAAACAGTGTAATGATCCATCTTCCAGCAAGGTGGTAGTGAAGCCTAATTATTTGCAGCCACAATATTTATAAAATAATTTGATGCCTTCTAAGAAGGAAGTGAATAGATTTTTCTAGATAGACTGGTACTCTTTCTCCCTAAATACTCCAATCACCCACCACGTGCCTGTCCGCAACACACACTTCTTCATCTTCATTCACACATACCCTACCACCACCACCATCTGACCATTCTTACTCCTCTAGCCAGAAATGAACCAAAGCTATACCTCAGGCTGCCGTTTATAATGAACTGCCTCAATATTAAAGATGATTATTCTTTCACATTCACAGGGGAAAATGTGTGTTGCTGCCCCTGTGGCTGGGGGTG